CATAGGGGTCCGTGAATGCGACCGTAGATTCCAGCGCATTTTATATCGTTTCCACCCAAAGGAACCTCTAATGGTGTTAGAATTTAACCGCGTTTGTTTTGGTTTAAAGTCGAGCCCATTTCATGCGTTACGCACGGTGAGACAGCTCGCTCACGATGAAGGTCCCTCTTATCCTAAAGCTAAGAGGGCAATTGAGAGCGGATTATATATGGATGATTTTGTGTATTCGGTCGATAGCGTGGAGGAGGCCACCCTAACCACCGCCGAGGTTATAAGGCTCATGAAATCAGGTCAATTCGATCTTGTGAAGTGGACTAGTAATTCGCGTCCGGTTTTAGATACAATCCCACTATCACACCGTCTTTCGGCGATAAAGGAATTCGACGATTCCGATACACACAAGGTGCTCGGTCTGTGTTGGTCACCAGAGTCCGACGTGTTTAGCCTTAAGGTAAATCCGCCCGTAGAGAAATGCACAAAGCGCACAATACTGTCATGCGTTGCTAGATTATGGGACGTCATGGGTTTCGTAGCTCCGGTGGTATTATACGCTAAGCTTTTGATTAAACAACTTTGGTTATTTGAATGCGATTGGGATGACTCGCCGCCTGACAGCATTGTTCGATTGTGGCAGCGCTTTAGAGAGGAACTTCCTTTACTAAGAGAAATTAAAATACCGCGTCATATAAATGTCGATAGAAATAGCAGCATAACGGTTGTTGGATTTGCAGACGCCAGCGAGAAGGCTTACGGGGGGCGTTGTATATTTCCATGTCCAGAATAATGGTAGAAATTCGATTAGCCTCATTAGTTCTAAGTCGAGAGTCTCCCCCCGTAAGGTTGTCTCTCTGGCGCGCTTAGAGCTTTGCGCAATATTAGTACTCACCAAGCTTATTACCACAGTTATCGGCGCATGTAGGGATAGAGTTCACATAGAAAGAATATTTGCCTTTTCCGACTCCACCGTCGCCTTATGTTGGGTTCATTCTTCACCCCACCGTTGGGATACGTTTGTCGCGAACCGAGTGGCCAAGATCCAAGACGAGTTAGAAACGCGGAACTTTTATCACGTGTCCGGTAAGGAAAACCCTGCCGATTATCTATCCCGGGGACTCACCCCGATGCAAATAATGGACCACCCGCTTTGGTTCCATGGACCTTCTTGGGTTTACTTGGATCCCTCACAATGGCCAATAACCGATTTCGAACCTTCGTCAGTGTCACAACCGCCGGAAGAGAAGAGACACGCTCTAGTGGCGAACGTTTCGAGCGAGGTTTCTCCAATCATTGCTCTGGCGAACCGCTTGTCCTCTTGGTCGAAATTATTGCGTAGCGTAATTTACGTTTGTCGATTCGCGAAGCTTTTACCGCGACGTCCGTATGTCTTAGCATCCGATTACAACTATGCCGAGTCGCTAGTATTACGTGAACTTCAACGTGCGCACTTCTCTGAAGAAATTACAAGATTACAATCGAATAGAGCTTGTAGTCGCGCCTTTCAACGCCTTAAGCCATTTTTACAGGATGGGATTGTAAGGGTAGGTGGACGCTTGTCCAACTCGCAATTGAGTTTCGACCAACGGCACCCTATAGTTTTACCGCGTAAAGACCATATCATGAACTTATTAGTCGATTATCATCATAAATTGAACTCGCACGCTGGCCCCGATTTATTGATGTCGATCTTGCGTCAGAATTATTGGATTCTTTCTGCACGTAGTTTAATACGCAATCGGGTGCACAGATGTATAGCTTGCTTTCGGGCACGCCCCAAGCCGTCATTTCCGGAAATGGCGGAACTTAGATCTTGTAGAGTGATACAATCGGTAAAGCCCTTCACGCACACCGGGTCTGATTTTGCTGGTCCGTTTAAGGTCACGCTCACTCGCGGGCGTGGTATAAGATCCACAAAGGCTTACGTCTGCATTTTCGTATGTCTAACTACTCGAGCAGTGCATATAGAACTCGTTGGTGATCTAAGCACAGCAGGCTTTATGGGTGCATTTAAAAGATTTCTATCGCGCAGAGGCCCTGTAAGTAAATTATATTCGGATAACGGTACGAACTACGTCGGTGCAAAACGTATTCTATCGGAACTACATGAGCTCTTAGCTAGCAAGTATATAATTCGGAGTTCGCTCACATTCTAGCCAAGAACCGCATTGAGTGGTCTCTGAACGTCCCAGCCGCGAGTCATTTTGGGGGCAATTGGGAGACTAATATTAAAAGTCTAAAGAGCCACTTATACCGAGTAATAGGAGATCAAATTTTGTCCTTCGAAGAGCTAAGTACGGTGCTCGCTCAAATTGAATGCGTAATGAATAGCCGCCCACTTTGTCGGACGTTATCTAGTGACCCCTCGGAACCGCTGGCTCTAACTCCAGCACATTTTTTGACTTTAACGCCTCTAAGGTATCTGCCCGCCGCGGATATGGATGAGAACAGACTTAGCATTTCCACACGCCACAAATTATTAGATCGGTTAGTGCAATCGTTTTGGAAACGATGGAGGATGGAATACTTGCATACTTTGCAGTCTCGGCAAAAATGGAACACAGCGACAGAGCCTTTAGCTGTAGGAACCGTAGTTGTGCTCACTAAGGAGAATACGCCGCCTCTCCACTGGCCGTTAGGAATCGTCGAGGAGGTCTTTCCCGGTTCCGACGGAGTAATTAGGATAGCTCGCGTTAAGACCACGGTTGGGTCTTACCTACGTCCTGTTATCCGTTTGTGCCCCTTGCCTCTTCCATAATTTAAATTAGCTTTCTAGACTGAAATTGTAGTTTAATTTAGGTAATCTTAGCGTTAGTTAGTTATTTGTTAGTCGATCTTAGCTCTAGTTGTTTAGTTATTTTTTTTGAAGGAAATCCTTCAAGGGCGGGGGAGATGGTTGCGCGGAAAACCATTCGCGTTTTTTTATTTGACGGTAGGAACTTGTAGAATCATTATTCCTTTCCAAACAATATCATTCGTACCCTCCTATCGACACATCGGGGTGGTGGGGTGGGAGGGGAAAGAAGACGATTCTAGAACATCGCGTAATCACCCGAGCCGAGGATATATAAGACACGCGCGACCGATGCGCGAGCCTCTTCTCCCGCCGCAGTCGTCGTTGAACCAACGCTTCTCTCCTGACGCACCACTTGGGCCCCAGAAGTGTCTGTCCAGAGGAGGTTCCGGAAGTCGCCGCTATAGTGATCGACAGGAAGAAGAAACCCCGGTGAGTCAATATTCCTTAATTATACCTGCTTGCTAATAGTTTAACCCGCTCCAATCTGTGTTTCTTTTCCTAATCAAGCAGGATTCCTTTCATCGATTCGACAAGTAATAGTTTAGTTTAGGGAAGAGCGAGTGCATTGTACCGCATGCTATAGTAGTCGCTTTTACGTAAGCGTAGAAGCAATCGCATATACAGTCCACTTTAGTTAATATCTCGCGTAATAGGTTTGAGGTTTGACCGGGGAACTAGATTTTCGGCAGCCTTAAACACGTGGCTCCACCAATAAATGTGTCAAATGTCATCTCTTTTTTTGGGTACCCACACTTTTATTATTTAATGTTTAATGTCCTGTCACTAGGACGCCATTCAAAACTATCATTAAATTCATATTACTGATTTCCGTTTTTTGCCTCCCACTTTCTTTTCACTGATAAATATAGATCTACGCGAAGCGGAAGTTGTTCAAATCGTCACGTTGTTACAAACTGGAATGAGCCAGCGAAATGTGACTCGAAATTTTGAAGTATGTCGATCAACAATTCAATATGTTAACAAGAGGTATTTGGAGACCGGTGACTACATCACAATACCTGGATCAGGTCAAAGACTAAAGACATCTGAACGGAATGATTGATTTGTAGTGACAGCAAGCCTCAGAAATCGTCATATTTCTGGGTAGAATTGCAGCACCTGCTCAGAGACGTCCAAAGTGTCGCTATATGTGATAGGATGATAATAAAACGCCTTAAAGAATATGGTTTAAACCATACAGACGCGCACCAGGTCCTAAACTTACCACAGCTCTTATGGCAGCAAGGTTAAATTTTGCTTGTGAACACCGTGACTGAACTTTGGCACAATGGGGGCAAGTACTCTTTTCTGATGAGTCTCTTTTGTGTCTATATGGTGCTGATGGTTACAAAAGGGTATATCGTAGACCTGGAGAACGATATGCACAGTGTGCCATATATGAAAGGGTAAGCTCTGGAGGTGGTTCAGTTTTTTTCTGGTGAGGTATAAGCTTAGAAACCCGTACAGAGCTGGTTATCGTAGATAGAGGAACTGTGACTGCTGATTTGTACATTACTGACATTAAGACTAGCATATAGTGCCATACTAAGGATTTATCGAACAAGATGAAGATTCACATAAATGCATGATAATGCCCGCCCCACGTTTAGATGTGCGTTAGAAATTACTTGAGAGAAGTGGGGATACAAGTTCTGGGCTGGTTAGCACGAACCCTGGACCGTGCCCATAGAACATTTACGGGACGAGCCACAATGATGAGAAATACAGCAAGATCCAGCCCAGAAGAACATGCAACAGGCGAAAGCGGCTTTATTGGAGAAATGGGACAAAAGAATGATATTTGTGATACTTTTCGTCACACAAGTCTTAATTACGCGAACAAGTACTGCTTCTTAAATAACACTCATTTATGGACTTTATCTTGTTACATTTTAAATATCGATTAAAGTCTATAAAAGTCCACTGCTATACATTGGCGCGCCCAGTATGAGGAGGGGGATTTTTCCATGGTTTCTACGCTTGGCGGGTTGGTAACCGCATTGTTTTTATAGTTTTTTTTAATTGTCAGAAATGAGGATTATATACTCGTAGTACTATATATAGTAGTCGATATTGTTACACTGCCACTACACCGTTACTCATCATTAACACAGAATACGGAGGGATAGACAGAGATTACAGACATCCATTTTTAGTTGCAACTACAATCTATGGACATCCGCAGCATTTGTAAGTTTTTTCATTTAAATCAGTACAGCATTTGCATAAAAATTTCAATTTTATGCTCCGGTCGACGACATTCTTCTGGTAAGGAAAATGCAATGGCCTTGCCAAGCCTTGTTTTAATCTCAGAAATATGAGGAAGCCTTTTTTCCGCTATAGGACAATATTTAAGCTGTTACTATAACAATAACCTACAATCACCTTCGGCACCGCGCCGCCGCCACGTAGGATTACTTGACATCCAATTGACATCGTAACAAAGTAAACGTTTCGTCATAGCTGTATTCTAACTGGTTGCTTAGCAAAAGTTTGTACGTAAATATTTGTCGAGATTAAATATCGACAGAATATATTTATTTATTTATTTATTTATTTATTCTCTCTTACATCTATCTTTACAGTTTCCTAATGCGATAGAGTAACTTATCCTAAGATTTAACAAAAATTATTACCTAAAATCAACAATAAGAATATAATAGAAGTAAATATATAATAAAAGTAAAAGCATTTCCTACCTAAATAAAATACTAACAAAAATTATTACCTACTAACAACAGATTATAAAAATAAAAAAAAAATAAACAAAAAATTACATAAAAAACCTAGATTTAACTATAACTTATTACATATAATGTGACCTTCGTGAATTCACTCAGAGTACAACAAAATATGTCAATTTTATCTTGGACTCTGTTTAGTGTTCTGAGTGCGCGCGTGAGCGGCGCGTGCTGCAGCAAGTTAGTCCTCGCGCGCGGTACCGCCAGCAGCTGCGGCCGGCGTCTGCGATATACGTACCGGTCAGGGACTCGGAGTGCCAACTGATCCAGCACGTCTGTGTTATGTACTCTGCCTATCAGAACTGTGTACAAATAGCGTGCAAGAGTAAATTCCCTTCTAACCCTGATTTCATTGTAACCTACCATACCTAAAATGAACAATGTTGGATACATTAATGGATAGAGTGGATACACTCCATACAGTCGCATGTACAGGTATCTTAAAAATTTATTTTGTACTCGCTCCAGCATAAGAGTGTACTTGTTTTCGTGCGGCGACCAAATCATCGCATTGTATTCCAGTTGGCTCCTAACCAGTGTATTATATAATGCAGTAATTGCGTAAATATTTGTGAAATTATTAACTGTGCGTAGTATGAAACCCAAACTTTTGTAAGCTTTTTTTACAACATTTAATGATGTGTTCACGAAAAGTTAATCCTGTATTCATACCCACTCCTAAATCACGAACTTCCTTGACCCTAGTCATGGGTACACAGTCTTCTATCATATAATTATGTACAATAGGGTTGTGGCTACGAGAGAATGTAATTGTGACACATTTTGAGGTGTTAAGCTGCAAGTTGTTTTCCTTGCTCCACCTAGTCACCCTATCTATATCACTTTGTAGCCTCGTGCAATCCTCCTTACATACTATAGGTAGGTATAATTTAAAATCATCTGCAAATAATAGGCATTTTGCTTCTTGGACCACTTTGGGGAGATCATTTATCATTATTATGAACTCCAAAGGACCTAAATTACTACCCTGGCTTACTCCAGACCTCGTGAAATATGTGTCTGATCGGTATCCTGCATATTCTACATATTGCTGTCTGTCTGTCATGTAGCTAGCAAAGAAGTTGAGTAAGTGTGGTGTAACCAATCCTGCTAGCTTTCTAGTAGGATATCATTATCTACAAGGTCAAACGCTTTTTTGAAGTCGAAATAGACTGCGTCGACCTGCCCGCCCGCGTCCACCGTCGGTAACACGTCCGCCATATACGCAAGAAGATTACTGCTTGTACTTCTATTCGGCCGAAACCCGTGTTGTGAATCCGATAATTGTATACCCATTTGATGATATACGCTCTTCTGTATAGCTGACTCAAATATTTTTTGCTGGAGTCGACAGGACTGCGATAGGTCTATTACCATCCAGGTTTCCTTTGGCACCAGCTTTCGGTACTGGTACTACCCTAGTCGTCTTCCATCTTTCCGGAAATACTGCTGCTCTCAGGGATTGGTTATATATATGAAGCAAAGGCTTAGCTAGAACAGATCGGCAGTCTCTAAATATATACGGTGGTATACCATCTGGTCCTGTCGATTTCTTTGGCTTAAGTTGTTTAAGGGCGTGCTGTACCTCACTGAGCTGTAACGCGCTAAGGTGTACGCGTGCTGCCGCGTTCTCACTGCCAGCCACCTGTATCGCTGAATTTACATCTAATTTAGCCTTACACGGACTGTACACCGAATAGAAGTAATTGGCTAACTCATGTACTGACTGTTCATTCGTCAGAAGTTCACCGTTTTTATACATTTTCCGAGGACTTCTATTGCTTTTTTTGGAGTTTATATACCTCCAGAAAGATATAGGGTTTTCCTGTAAATTACTTTGAACGATATGCTGATGGTGTGTATACGCTTCTCTTATGCTTTGTTTGACCTTAGCCCTAAATTGTGAAAAAACCTCGTAATCTAAACCTGATCTACTTTTCTTGTATACTTTATGAAGAGTAGCTTTTTGTTGTATTAATCGGATAACATCGGCGGTATACCACTCAGGATACACGTATTTAGACTTACTATAACATTGAATTTTTTTTGGAACACATTGTTCTAATATTTTATTAATAGACTCGTAGAAGTAATCTAAACTCATTTCTAAATTTAATTCATATATGGAAGACCAGTCTGTGGTCTCAATTAAATGATACAACAAAGGAAAGTTAGCTTTTTTAAAATGCCATTGCGGAGGTATTTTGGTGATGTTTGAAAATGTGTTTGACCTTGAATGCGCGATAGTGTCAGTGTGAGTAAGCGATCGCAAGCAGACAGTTACATCGAGCGGTGGATGTTGTACGTCGACCGGCACCAACGGCTGGGTCGCCCCGCTCACGCGCACACCATCTCCCCGCTCCTCAACCGTGCTCAATACTAGATCTAGACATCTATCATTACAATTGTAAATATTGTTACTCTGAATGAACCCACAATAAGTTATAAAATATTCAAAATATTGATTTACACTAAGTGGACAAGAGTACATATTGAAATCTCCTAACACTAAAACCTTGTCGTAACTGTTACATAGCTGCTCAATTATTCTAAACATTACCATATATTCACATTCACTACTATTAGGCGGTATATAAACAGCGCACAACAAAAACAAAAACCGGTTTCGAAGGTAGACAGTAGCGCAAACTATTTCGAATATATGATTGTCAATGTTTACATTGTCAGGTATCGTAATTCGTCTCAGTTCGAAACGCAGTGTGGCCACTAAAAACGCGCCGCCTTGTTTGCGTCCATCTGTTCGGTCACACCGAATAATACTATGACCTGGTGGGACCAGCTCACCGTCGTAAATCGACTCATTACAACCTGTTTCCGTAATGATGAATAAATCAGAATCAGATGAAGCAATAGCCAAATAGAAATCGCTTGTCTTCGTTCTAAGTCCTCTCACGTTCTGATAGTAAATTTGTATATTCTTACTATTTTTTGTCACTTTGTTGCTCACGGGTGTTTCGACGAAACCACACCCACTCGCAAAATTCAATATTTATAGGCCAGTGTTCTGGTTGGCATAATACGTTATATTTACTTTCAGGGAGTGCTATAATAAATGAAGAATAGTCTCTTTGAGTCTTATGTTTTATTTGGTCAATCTTTATGGGCACTTCATTTCCACAAATATTTTTAACATACTTTTGTAGGCTTTCAATTGTGGTTTCTGTGTCTAACCGCCAAACATGCAGGTACCTTTTTCTCTCTGATCCCTTAATTTCAGTTGAATTCGTACTTTCTCCTTTTTTTACTTCATCGTTGGGATATCTCTTTTTCTTGTTTACCACCGTCCAATTACTAGTTTCCATTTTATTTTCTTTTTGAATAGTAATATCCGTTAGATCATTTTGTGAATCTATCACAATACATTGTTTGTGCACAATCGGCTCCGTGGGTTTCATGGCCACACTTTTATTATCCGCTGCCTTCTTTTGAGTTTGTTTCTTTGCAACATTTGCAAACGTTAAAACTGACTTTTCCGGCTGCTGGACTGCTGACTGCTGACTTTTCTCCATATTACAAATTGATTCTAGTTCTTCCTTTTTCTTTTCTAATATTTTAATATTAGCCTCTAAAAGATCTATTTTATTTACTTTTTCTTGAACTACCTCCAAAATCTTTTGTACTTTTTGTAATTCGTTTTCCGTAACAACAAATCTCTTTTGAAGTAGGTCGTACTCCTTTGCTTGTCTATCTAGTCGACAATTAAAATCATATCTCAACGCTCTTAACTCTTTCAGTATCTCATTTTCTACTACTATAGAATCAACGGTAGTCGGACCGCCGCCGCCACCTCGCTTGATATTGACGTAGCTAGGTGTAACTGGTTCCTTATTCACTTGCTTGGGTCCTCGTACTGGCGTGTTCAAATTACCACCTTTAGGGATAATGCTCGTGCACTCTGGGCATAGCCATTTACTTCCACTTTCCCCTGTGGTAGCCTCCAGCTTTTCCTTCCCCAATCCAAGACACGCAAGATGGTAAGATTTACCACAATTTTTCTCCAAACACTGCATCCTGAGATCATCACATATTACGGCATGGCAGCCGTCACATTTAGTGCCCATTTTTGGGCTCAAAACACTCAGAGTCACACACTTATTATTTATTTTTAATTCGATTGACTTGCAACACGTCCGTTCCGTACCGCGTGCTATTGCGAACTATATATAAATAATAGTCTATAATATAAGCGAACAGTGGACGAAAGTTCTTAGCTGCGAAATTGCCATTTTCTAATACTATCTAGGTGAAAATTGAATAGCTTGCATTCGGCTTCAAATTCAAAATTCAATTAAAGGTATTATTTTTCTTACTTTAAGAACGAACACATGGTCTAAATTTTGATCGATTATATGTAAGAATATCCACTACCCCGTATCGATATTTTATACGTGGTAGAGCCATGCTGCAGTTATATTAGTAGTATAGTTGTAGCACGAATGGGTCGGCTCGACCGAGGAAGGACCACGCTCTCACAGAATACCAGCGTGAAATAGTAGCCTAATGCTGCTGTATTTCGTATGGTGTGTGTAACCGGAGACCCTTTTTACTGGAAACGAGGCATTCCATCTTAGTCTTCACGGGTGACAACGCATCTGCATTTTGATTCGTAATCGAGGATAGATGTAGATGTATATGGGCCACAGCAACCACTTACCATCAGGTGGACTGTGTGCTCGTTTGTCACCCTATCCTATAAAAAAAATGGATCCATGGGTGTCGTGAGAGACTACAAAGGGGGGTAACAAACCAAGATGGGCAGCAGCCTCATACCACGTGTAAAGTCTTCCAGGTGCTGGTAGTAGTGGTAGTCTGCCCGAGTTAGGGGCTTTTACGATGAAGCATACCCGGGTTACCAGTGGGTCCATTATTTATTGCTATTTATTAAATAAATAAATCTAAAAATCTGTTCAAAAGATGATTGATAAAAAATACAAAAAGGGGATGTCTGCAGAGTTTCATTCGGTGTTTCTTTTCAGTCATAAAACATTCTATCCGTGGTAATTACTACACCTACTGAATGAAGTCATACTCGATTTTAAATATGTAGTTAAAATAATGCTGACGTGAACAAAATCTACATATTTCATGATGATCATTATTCAGGGTTTTCTAATAAACATTTATAAAAATGGAAGAGCCTCTCTGCAGCTATGTTATGGTTGTAGCACGAATGGGTCAGCCCGACCGGGAAAGGACCACGTTCTCACAAAATACCAGCGTAAAATAGCAGCTTAATAAGGTTTTGTTACGTATGGTGAGAATCTATGGGCCACAGCATCCACTAACTATCAGGTATTTCACCCTTATTCCTTAACAAAAACTAATTTTGAAATGGTACTACAATTAATTAAAATTAAATTAATAAAGATTTTATAAAATATATTTCAGCAAAGAAGTTTAATTTTTTTAAGTCGAAAAATAAATATTTCATTACATTTCAAATAGTTTGATTAAACTTTAAAATATACAAAGGATATTTTAAATACGTATTCCATTGTGTTATTTAGTGAATTTATTCCATCTTCAGTTTAAGTTTTTAGGTTTCAATTCGTTGGTAAGTAGATAATAAATAAAGGGACTATTTCGAATGAAATTTATTCGATCAATCCTAGAGAGAATTTGAACATGGGATTGCTTTTACAGAAACGTACATATGTAACAAATTACCTCTACAAGTATTACGTTATGGATTTTGGCTACTATATTTAAAAAAAACTGTAACTAAATTTATTATAATAATAAGGTTAACTATAAGCATCATTACAATTTCATATACTTTAGTTGAATTTTTACTTTCTGTTCCCTAACCTAAAAAAGCACATGGGAGGTCAAAGATTTTCGACAAACGACGAGGTCAAAGCAGCTGTAGACGCATATTTTGACTCTAAGGAAGAATCATTTTTTTTCAACGGTCTAAATGCTTGGAAGGGGAGGTGGCAAAAGTGTATTGAACTTGATGGTGATTATGTAGAAAAATAAAAATATAATGATTAGTAATTTTCTTTTAGGCCAGTACTTTTCAATCCACCCTCGTATTATGGATTAACTGTGCCCATGATTTCGTTCGCATATAAAAATTTTCTTCTATTCTTTTAAAATCGATTAAATTTGTAATTTACTTTTTACAACTTATATATACTAAATTAGTAGTAGTTTAGATGTTTCTATAGCCTTTACAATGCCACTGCTAAATATAGGCCACCCCCAAGCATCTGCATCCAACGACTTCCTGCACAGGTCGTCACTCAATCTAGTGGGGGCCACTCTTAACTTCGCTTACCAATACGAGGTTGTCACTCGAGCACTTATCTTTCCTATCGAGCGGCGGTTCTTCGAGCTATACGGTCAGCCTATTGCCACATACGGTTAGTAATTCGTTGGGCTATTTCAGTAACTCAGGTTCTACTAATGATATCCTCATTTCTAAGTCCTTCACGATATTGATGTTATAATTAAATTAATAATTTATAAGGAGAGCTTTTAGCGGCGTAAGAGAATCCATCACACCAGTTCAGCCGTCAGGATATCAGAAAGATCTCATAGATTTTGCTAGATAGAGGTAAGCATCACATTTACGCTAGAAGTAAAATATCTTGACTGGCGACGAATAGCTTTGTTAAAATTTCGAGACATCTGATGATGAAGAATCGTACTTATTACATCTATGACAGGTTTTTAAGAGGCTAATTTAGCCTTCTCCTCTAAGTGACCACGAAACGGCACACTATTCGATATGTCGACACCAAAGATCCTGATGTTAGCTGAGGCAGCAAGGAGAGTGCCTTGAAACTGAGGAGATACGTTCGAGGATTTTTTTAATTTTACAGACACGCTGGTTTCCTTACGATGTTTTCAACGGAGATCGAAGCCTGGTTAGCGTTTAGATTCTAAACTACAATGGTACTGAATGATTTTCAATACATTTTTAGGATAAGGGTGATAAACCAGCCTACAGTTCACCTGTAGGCTTGTTTGTCACATCCATAAAGAGGTTCTTTTTAGCGGTAAACGCACAAACTTTGATTATATGGGGCTTGAACTGGACTGATTTAGCCGCCCTAAGTCCAAAACTTTATTTAACAATCTCTCGACTTAACACACAAGTTTTTCCCGGTACTCGGTCTCCCGGTACTTAGTTTCCCCGAAATTTTTCGACTAAGTATTGGCACAGCTAGTCTATAAAGCATCTACAGTACTGTCGTCTGCATAGTAATGAATGTTACTAACATGTCATTGATATGAAGAAACAGCGTTGGTGATAGCACGTAGCCTTGTGGAACACTAGGGTTAATAAGCTTATAATCAGAGCATACACCGTCTACTAGGACCCTGATGGTGCGATCAGCAAGGAAATTGGTGATCCAATTGCACAACTTCTCGGGAATCCCATAGGAAAGGAGCTTCGAAAGAAACGCTTTGTATCTTTTCTCTACATTCTCTTTACGAATCCCAGTCCCCCATTTCCAGTCGTGCTACAAACATAATATAGCTGCAGCGTAGCTCTACCACGTAAAGCCTTATAAATTTACCTTCATTTTCACGCTTGGCAGGTGGATTGCCAGACGTCTGGCGCCTTTATCGCTGCGGTCTGTGTATTTTACGTCTGCTGTAATCGAAATTATTATACCGCCATCTATCGGAATATATAATTAATTTAAATATACAGTTACCGTGTAATTGCGATGTGAAAATATTCACTACCCCATATCATTTAGTGGATGCCGTAAGAGGCGACAGAGAAAATACTAAGCAAGAGATAAGCAGGAATAATGACTAAAAATAAAAATCTGCGGTTGCCAACCCGAAATCTGTGGGGAGGTCGATGTTCACCAGTGGCCTTTAAATAGCCGTAACGGTAACGGTATAAGGTTAAAAAAGAAAATTGACGAACTGCGAAAAAGGATTGACTGCGTCCGGCCGCGGGCGAACAGTTTGCACGTTATTTACGGAAGACTGCTGGGACGTTTTTCATCGCCTCATTTGCGATTGTAATTAGTTTAATTGAAAAGGACGGATAATGAAAATTACATTATGAGCAAACTTTAAAAAAGGAATCTCAGTAAGCAATAATAATAAAAAAACGAATAAACTGATTGTTTGTGCTAAGCGAAAATGTTTGATTTTACTAGGCAGACAGTAAGACTTCTTTCTTGTCTGAGAGTCTGCGTACCACGTTCTTACCTATTTCTGCCAGCAAACGGTAGTGCTGATACTGCTGCGTTGTATATTCTGGTCTGAAGTGTTTAGAGAGCCTGTACAATAGCGGCTGTGAGGCATTCCATCTTAGTCCTTAGAGATGACAATGCATTAAAAGCTTTCTTTGTATGAAGTTAGCTGCAGTCTTCTATGAACTGCAGTAGCCACTTGCCATCAAGTAAACTGTAGGTTAGTTTATCACCTCAGTTTTGTTAAAAAATTACTGAACATTAAGTACCATTTTGTGACAGCGTAAGTCTTACCACCTCCATCTATCTCCTCTCTCATCCCATGGGTGTCGAAAGAGTCCACTAAGGGGAATTCCAGCAAGCTTGGGTGATAAGTTTTTTGAATAATAGGTTTTTAATAGATCTACGAGGGCGGTACTGAAAATTTCGGGAATCAATGAAGTGACACAACATTACTATTTAAAAACGTATTTATTGCTTTTCGAAGTATTCTACGCGAAATTTGACACATTTTTCCTTACGATGGAACCAATCATTATAGCAACCATTCCATTCGGAAGTTGGGGTCTCCAAAATGGCCGCTTTGTAGGCGTCCACAGCTTCCTCAGGTGACTTCCTCTGTCCACGCAATTTATTCTTTATTTTAAGGTAAGTATAGAAATCATTAGGGCTTAGGTCGGGGCTGTACGGCGGATGGTCTAATAACTCTATGTTTTCTTGCTCTAAAAACTCTTTTGTTCTGTGTGCGGTGTGAGAACTC